TCCTCAAGTCCAGCGCCATCATAAAAAGTAATTGAAAACGATCCATTTCTCAGTCGGTGGGTGGCGAAACGTATCTGCATTTGCGGAGTCATTGTTGATGCGTACTCTAAGCGGTTGGAAGTTTACACGATGCTTGCCACGACGTCCAAAGGCGTCATTGACGTTCTACGCTCTGTTTTTCCTACTTTTGCCCTACCGAAAATACTTTTCTCTGATAAAGCGCCAAATCTTGCTTAAAATAAAATAAACAAGCTTTTGAAAAAAAAAGAAGAAAACCGAGCATTGGGCATCACCTTAGTGCACCATACCATCCTCCAACTAACGGGCAAGTAGAACAGATGATGTGCGAAACGAAGAAAGCCATCTTGAAGCTTACGGAAGAAGCAGTTCAGTGAAGAATCGCCAGGTTCTTGTTCCAGCAACACGCGACGGTCTTATCTTACATGGTAAAAACACCCGCCGAAGCAATGTTCGGCGGACGAAGAGCCACACCCCTCGATCTCATGATACTATGGCCTACGAACGAAGATCGAGAGATTCCCACATCGGGGGTAGTGGCAGTTTATTCGGTCGGACAACTCGTCTACCTGAAGAATTTCAGCCTTCTATGTAAAACTTGAGTAGAAAAGGCTCTTTGTTGGTTGACCAGAAGGTGTCATCCCTCTGAATACGTTGGATATCAATGCCCTTCAGTGTAAATATAAAGAAATCACAAACCCTCTTTCTGTTATGTGTAACTGCCCTTGTATTTGGTAGTAGAAGCTATAGTGGTGATTTGGACCTTTCACACCAGGCTCATTTTTCTTATTTTTCGCCTCATACTCCTTTGCGGTTTCAGCAGCCTTCAAGAATCTTTTGGAACGGGGACACTTTACGTCAACGAGGCCATTTGTTCCAATTAGGCAATCAGGGAATGCTGCTAGAAATCCATCCCTCCTATTAACGAATAAGCCGCACTTCTGCACCGTGCAGTTTTCCTGTTCCACGTACAGTTGTAAAGCAGCATCCTCATTGATTCTACCATATTATGTTGCGGGTGAAGAAGGGTCTTTGGGTACACGATAGTTGAAGCAATTCTAGCAATGTACGTTGTGGTTTGACACCCACTAATGTCGTCGTCCTTATAGAGCCTCATCATTTAATTATTACCTCGTCACCTCATATTGCTCTTCATCAGCAGTAAGTACAATAGGCTACCGTTTTATTACAATCCAAGAATTAAAAAATTGTGTCGTTCAGTCCTTCAATATGTTTATCGTTTATATAATGTTATTACGTTACATTACCTCGAGACGATCGGCGCCCATCGTCGATCTTCAAATACTTCTACCTGTATATGAATTAGACGCACAAAGGGGGGGGGGGGGGGGGGGGGGGAGGGGGATCGGTGGCCGACTGCATGGTCTATACTCTGTTTCACTTTATGATGTACCGCAGTAAAAGGTACAATAGCGAGCTCCTTGCTCCTCGGCGGCACAAGCTCTCGTATGTTAAGGGGTATTCACACGAGGGAGAAATCCCGGGGATTTCTCCCCGGCACGCGCATCCCACGACGAAAACGTCAGCCTTTGCGATGTGCAAAAGCCTCGCGTTTTCATCTCGTGATGCGCGCGTGCCGGGGAGAAATCCCCGGGATTTCTCCCTCGTGTGAATACCCCTTTAAGAGCAGCTACTAACGCTATGAGCTCGCGCTCCTAGCCTTCTCTGCGGTACAACATAAGGTGAAACGGATTATAGATGCTTTACACACGCGCCAAATTACAGGCGCCATTGCTGACCTTCTCTTGTCTTACCGAGATGCCGAGCAACTGAAACGGTAGTTGACGATACTCTACAAAGGCCGATGCCTTAGAAAAGGACACAGTTGAATCTAATATAGCAATTACCTGGCCTGCTATGGTAATGATGAAATGAAATAAACGGAATGAGAGGAAACAAAAACTGAAGGTCAGTTATAGCGGCGTCCATGCGCAGCTGCTGCAAAGCGTCTATAGCGCACGCGAGCTCGGAGCATGTGGAGCGAAAGCTCGCACTGCAGAACCCACCCCGCCCCTGCCCGTTTTGATCTGGAAGAGCATCGTACCGGAGTGCGGTCGTGTATCACTACGGCGTGGTGCACGTTAAACACCCCAGGTTTGCGGTTGTACCGCACTGGCTAAATTCTTCATCTACAGCTGAGACACCAGACGCCCACTAAGGCAGACTAACTTCCGATTGTATAAACATACCCAAAACAATTTGCAATTAGACGCACAATCACAGCATGCCGCCTCTTTTCTTTAGATCGTATTTTTTTAAACCAGCGCAAGCTCGCGCGTTCTTTCTTTTGAGACGGTAAGAACGGTTGCACATAAAACCCGCGTTTTTCCTACGCGGCCGCTTCCTCCTCTCATCATGTGTAGTCGGTTATAACCACTGATCTCCACTAGAGGGGGCTGGATGGTGCATTGAGCTAAAGCCCCTCGATGTGTTTCTGTTTGTCTTGCAAGCAGCGTCAAACGCGCCAGTGCACGAGGCTTGTGTCTCGAGCGGTCCTTGGAAGCAAATGGCGGCGCAGCACTGAAATGAGCGGCTCTTGGAAGCGAATGGCGGCGGAGCACCCACTCGTGGCACGTGTCTCGCGCGTTCCTACAACAATGGTTGGCGGTACTTGAAAGCGTGAATTTTATCAAGGGACTTTACATTGAGCAAACAGGTATGAAGCCACCGGAAGTGAGCGGCATGTCCCGGAAACGAGCGCTTGGCAGGCTTTGTAAACCTTCCGAGTGCTGGTTCGAAAAGCGTCGAGGGCGCTGGATTTTCGCGTGTTCTTTCAAGAGAGCCTGCTTGTTGCGCAGTAAGAGCGCATGCGGACCCGAGAAGTAACGTGGGAATCCATTCAATGTAAACATTTTGAAATTCTAGTTGATCAAGTTGAGAATATGTCCCGAGTTCAAATGCCTCATTCTCGGGATTGAATCCAGAACGGGAGTATTAAAACCCAATCAAAGGCACAAAAAAGCATGATCCAAAATATCGGCACTCCGTTCCCCAAAATTGTTTTGGGCGCCGCCATTTTCGGTCTTGCTCAGAGCAAACGCAACTGCCGATCGTCATGATTCAAAAGTGCGACATCCTCAACATTAGATTCGGTGTTAGGAAGCTCATGTAATGTTGCTTTGCTTTGTCGCAAATTGTTTAAAGTGGAGGACGGAAAAGCGTTTATTGTGATTTCAGATAAACCTTCAAATAACTGGCAACCGTGATTTAAAGCCACAATATGGCCAAGTGTCACTACTCTGAAGCGTAGCTTATTTAATGACACTATTTATGCTCTTGTTCAAGAGGCTTGTAATACCTGGAGGGGCCATGACGTAAGCCCTGTGGATTCCACAAGGCACTACCTTTTGACACCTGCCTCTTCCTCATTGTTCCCGCTTGTGCCAGTAAATTAGCTACGGTTCAGAGTAACGACACTTGGCCATATTGTGGCTTAAAATCATGATGGCCAGTTATCTGAAGCTTTATCAAAAATCACAGGAAACGCTTTTCCGTCCCTCACAAATGTTTAAACAACCCGCGACAGAGCATTGCAATATTGCATCAGCTTCCTAGCACCGCATCTAATGCTGAGGAAGTCGTACCTTTGGATTATGATAATCGGCAGTTGCGTTTGCTCTGAGCAAGACCCAAAATGGCGGCGCCCAAAACAATTTTGGGGAACGGTGTGCCGATACTTTAGAGCTTATTTAGTGACTCTAGGCATAAAGTAAACACATATGTATTCTTTTCTTCTTCGTCTTTATTGTTTATTGATTTCAATCATATCGAATAATGAACACATTATATCACGCCTCGGTTGTGTAATTATTTGTATTAGATTTATTAACCTGACCCAGTGCTTAAACCATTCATTTATCAATAGTAAATCTTCCAATATATTTTTTAAATGTAAAGGTAAAGAGACACGGAGATTGATGATGATACAGACGCCAACGCCGCCCTCGGAAATTTTTTGAACATTAAAAATCAGCAGTTTGTCTGCCATCCGCCAGCTAGCGCAACAAAACACCCAAACAGTTTTTAATTGTTTTTAAAATTAGCTAAGCTCTACACCTATTAAAAAACCAAAGCAAGATCATTGTCAGAATCTAATACATCGCAATGTATATCTATTCCAAACAATAAATGTTATTAGATGCCAATAAATCTGTTTGATGTCCAAAAAAGATATGCGTCAAAAACAGGTAAGTTTGAAGGGCTCCTGAAGCGTTATGACTTTGAAAATGAAAAAAAAAGCCATCGTCCACCTCTTGGGCAACCATTGTAGATCTAAATGGTATAAAAGATTTTATCGCTGTTTAATTATTTCCTCAGCGGCATTTGAAGTACCATGACTCGAAGCACAAAAAAGTGCTACGTTTCATATAAAATATCTAAACAAAACACGTTTACACAACATAAAATTTTTTTTCTGCATATTACCAATTATAAGCACTACATCTGTAGCTAATTTCATTGCCCTAACGCTTGTCATTAAAAAATATTTGTGCTGAAAAATGTCAATTTTAGGGCAATATTTGGAGGGATGAAAAAAACAAAGTAGTGCAAATACCAAAAAAGTGTTTCGTTACGTTCTGCTCCGACATCATCTTAACAAAACTGCTATATTAGAACCGTGTTATCTTTAATGGATCGTTCATAAAACATGAACTAGCGGAGCAAGTTAGGGTCCGCGCCATCATATTCGCAACGCTACAAATGCGCATGAACAGTAAACACTAACACACACATAATATCAAATGAAAGAGGATTGCATTGCCTTTCGAATGACATCAATCCCACAAAACAGTATTTAAAAGGAGATGAGTAATGACCTGCCAAAAAGTACTCAAACTGCCCCATTCAGTGGGACCGTGGCCTTAAAAGGACCGCTCTGTGTTCTGGGGTATGACAAACAGAGCTTAACGTTCTAGCCACTTTCAGAAAAGAGCATATCCTAAAGGGACATTAGTTCACGGTCAATTCCATTCTAAAGGCTGAACAGCGAAGATCTCTTCATTCTCATCCTCGTCGTCAGCTTCGTCGTCGTCTCCACTCTCCTCCCCCGTGTCGCTTGCATCGAGGGGTATGATGACTGGCTCGAGGTTCGACTCTGGGACGTTACATTCTCGAAACTTCGCCTCCATTTTTTTTTTCACATGCTCTACACAGTCATGCCAATGGACAGCTGTTACGTTGTCCACTGCTTCCCTCAAGAGCCGCTCGGCGTCATTGGGCTTGAATGTGATGTTCTTGGAGGCGACCTCCTGCTTGACTCGTGCCCATATCAACTCTATGGGATTTAGTTCGCAGTGGTACGGTGGGAGCCTCAACACTGTGTGTCCGGCGTCCGTAGCCATGATGTCAACTGTGTACTTTGTGTAGCGATCCTTCACCGTTGCCACGATGCTCAGAAGGTCTTTTTTCTTCATTGTGGCAGTCCAGTCTAGGTTCTTGAAAGAGAGCCACTGCTGGATCTCGCCCTTCTTTGTTGCAGTTGTGGGAACTGCTTCAACCTTTCTGCTGTGGTATGGCGCGTTGTCTATAACAATTACGCTGTTAGGCTCGATGTGGTCCAGCAGATGAAGAAACCATGCTTCAAACCTGTTCGAGTCCATTTCATCGTGGTAATCGTCCTTTTTCTTCCCACAAAACACGTCCACGCAGCCGGACACGAAGCCAGTGTCACTACCTGCTTGGGTGACAATCACTCGTTCACCTATTCCAGAAGGAACCTTTAGCCCGGTCGTCAGTCCAGATATGAAGGCCTGCCTTGCTGACTTTATGGTGCTGTCAGTCCACACCTTGTCAACTGTAAGGCCGGCTTTCACCCAAGTCTCGTCCTGGAAGTAGATTTTGCGGTTCTGGGCTCTGTGCTTTCCGATTGCCCTCAAATACCGCCGCCTCCACTCGACGATGTTCTCTCTCTCAATTAGGAAGGAATTGCGATTCCGTTTCTGTTTCTCGAACCCCATGTCCTTCAGCAGGCGATACAGGGTAGACCCGGAAAAGGACGGCAGCACGTCGTCTTCTTTTTTTTTTTTTCTTTATTTGTGTCTGCGGATACATGTTCCGCAGAGGGGGTTTAAGGCTAAAGGCACAAAGTGCCTGACGAGGCCTTAACCCCCTCTTGGCATGCAGCGAGCAACAACATACATATGCAATACATCATACACATATAATACACCATACACATATAATACATAGTACATATATAATACATCATACATATTAAGTACAGATTCATTAAATTCATATCAGTTCAATAGCCAAATCTTCATACTGTCAAATATACAGTTTTTTTAGTTTAGACATACTAAAACAGATAAGTATTAGATACATATACGTGGTAGATCCAAAAGTCTAGATCACGACAGTTTTACACGAGTCTAAACGAGATATACATTGACAAACTGAAGTAGAAAAAAACATGAAGCTACAAAAGAAAGAATTTCAAAATACAAATAACATTCTTATACAATAACTTGTATAGACTTGTGATAAGACCTATCAAAAAACGAAGTAACGAGAAAGGTAAGGTCATTGCTAACAAAATATGATTGCAGTTTTAAGAAAGACAAGCAGTACCTAACAAAATGTGAGAGCACTGCACAGTAAATTTGTTTTACAATCTCTTTTAAATTTTAATATTGATACATCAAAGTTTAATTCGAGTAAATCACGATTCAAAATTGTAGCAGTCTGGAAGGCTAAAGTTTGTCGTCCATAATTTGTGCGTATTATAGGTACTTTACGTTTCGGTCGTCGAATATCGTACACTGGTGTTAGTCCACTTTCTAGCGCTAACTAGGTTCTATTCCTGTGGATTAGTTGAAGCAATTTAAAGTAATATATTTGATTTGCCCTAAGCATGTGATGTTTTAAAAACAAAGGTTCCGTACGTAGGTTCCTGTAATCCCCCTTGTAGTCCTCTAACATACGTAAAATTCTTTTTTGGAGGACCATTAATTTATTATAGTTTGAAACTGTTGTTGTCCCCCAGACCAAAATTGCGTAGCTTAATTTTGAAAGAACCAATGAGTGATACGTATTTTTAAGCAGCCAACATGGGATAAAATTTCTGATTTTATACAAATTGCCTATAATTCTGGACAGGTCAGCTTTTAACTTGTTTATATGAGTACTCCATGACAATTCCTCACTAAACCAAACACCAAGAAATTTTTGCTCGCGTACTTGCTCCAGTTCTAAACCTTCAAATTTGATACTTACACTATCGGCGTCCCGTTTATTTACTGGTTTAAAAATTACGTATTTTGTTTTGTTTGAGTTTAATTGCAGTCTATTTCCTTGAAGCCATTCTGACAGTTTTAAGAGATATGAGTTTGCGGCTAGCTCAATACTTTGTTTTGTTTTTCCACTAAAGAATATATTAGAATCATCAGCATACATGATTACTTCCTGCGGTCCAGATATTTTTGTCAGATCATTTATATATATTAAAAATAATAAGGGGCCTAAGATTGATCCCTGGGGAACACCATGTTGTATACACCAACTCATGTTTACAAACAAACCGGAGCGCCCCTAGCGGACGCCACCGGCGCCGCGCATGCGCGGTGGATGGTGGGCAAGAAGCCCGCCGTCGCTCATAAACAAACCAGTGAATTGCGTTGTTGTCGGCGTCGGTGGGAGTCCCCGTGCTCTTTTTCGCGTTGGAATTGTTAATTCTACGTCCTCCTAACAATGTCTGACTACTTGAGCGGCTTCAGCTAAACTATCGAGGCAAAACTTTGCGTGAATAATGTGACGTGCGGCGATTCATTTCACGTGGACGCCGCAGAATGGGCGCTAAAGCCTGACTCCTACGATGAGATTCTGCTCGCTATTTTCAGTCGCGACGTCGCTCGGACTGCAAAAGCGTGGACCGTAGCTGAGATGGTGAACATCGATACTGAAAACCGCAAGTAGAATCGGGCATTACAAGTCGGTGATGGCCACTGGTAACAATGATCAACAACTTCTTGTATCTGTTTACACTTAGCCGACTTACCCCAACCAACCTTCAAAAGTGTTTTGAGGCCTGCACTTCGTTCTTATCGCAATTACCGGGTCAACGTTTGGTTTACGGGCCGCTGTCGTTTGAACGAACTGACGACAAAGAGCAGCCAAGTTTGAAAGAGCAGACGACAGTTGGAACGCACGCGCAATGGAGTACGGGCAAGAAGCACCGCGTCCCGCGTCAACAAACCATTCGAATGTCACGTTGTCGGCGTCTGTGCGAGTCTGCATACTCTTTTGTCGCGTTGGAGTTGTCGATTCTACGTCCTCATCGCAAGGTCTTACAACTTCAATCGCCTGAGCGAAATTATCAAGGCTCGTTACGCCGCTAAACTTTCCGTAAATAGTTTGACGTGCGGCGATTCATTCGCATGAACGCTGCAGAATGGACGCCAAAACCATGATGAGATTCTTGTAGTTATTTTCGGTCGCGACGTCGCTCGTGCTGCAAAAGTGTAAAAGGTAGCGGCGATGATCGACGTCGATACTGAAAATCGGAAGCGGGAACAGACCAAGCGTAACAAGTAGGTGATGGCCACCTGTACCAATAATTAACATCTTGTATCTACTGTTTACACCGATCCTACTTAAGTCTTTTGAGGCTTGCAATTACTTCTTATTGCAATCACCGGGTCAGTTTGGTCTACGGGCCGCTTTTGTTTGAAAGAGCAGACGACAAAAAGCAGACAACTTTGAAAGAGCAGACGAGAGTTCGAACGATCAGGCGGCCGTGTGAATTTGAAGACGCACTGAATCCGTGAGTGGTCCGGACAACTTGGGGGTTTTCTCTCGTTCATGTTGGAACAAAGCAAATACATCTGGCGACCACAAATTGTGGCCCGCACACGCAATCGTAGTTCGACAGCGTCTGGTTTGCCCTTTTCACGGATGCTATCCACGTTCTCGGACGAACGGAGGGGGCAGAAACACATGAAAACTGATCTTCAAACCTTTCCAGACTCTCTTGGTACAGCCCCCATCGCAGCATTTTGACGAGAAGGCAGGTTTTTTGTCTCGTTTCTTCCAAGGGAACACAGGAATGCATGTCTGGCAAGGCGACTTCTGCCCACCGCCCCAGAGCGGAAGTGCGTCCGGCGCGCCACCACCGCGGCGTGACGTAGGTGAGTTGAGTTGGTGTATATTTAAGTGGGAGGCGGATATCTTATTAATTGTTACATATTGATATCGATCGGTTAAATAACTTTTTACTAGTTTTTGTGCGATTCCACGTATACCGTACCTACCTAGTTTACGCAATAATATTTCGTGCTGCACAGTGTCAAATGCTTTTCTTAGGTCCAGGAAAAGCCCGAGAGTATATAATTTACTTTCAGTATTCGCAATTATTTTGTCTTTGATATCTAGAAGAGCCTGCTCCGTAGATTTATGCTTTTGGAATCCATATTGCGAAGACGTTATAACTTTGTGCTTATTAAAAAAACATTCCAACCTATTCTTTATAGTAGTTTCGAAAATTTTTGAAAATATACATAAAATAGAAATTGGTCTATAGTTGTTTATGTTGTTTACTCCCCCTCCTTTGTAGACAGGATGAATTCTGGCAATTTTAAGTTTGTTTGGAAAAATTCCGCTTTGTAACATTTTATTTGCTAAGTTAGACAGGACCGGAGTTATTATCGAGGCTGCATATTTTATAGGTCGGGGCTTAATGTCATCTTCACCGGCCGCCGAATCATTTTTTAGATTTTTTATGATTTCATCAATTTCTGAAGTTGATACCGGGACCAACATTATAGAATCCATGAGGCTATCTATATTCACATTTTCGACAACACTGTTTATCTGTACTAGTGGGTACGCCCCTACATTTATAAAATGCTGATTCATCTTATCAGCGGCTTCTTTGTCGGTTACAATCTTATCTTGCAATAAAAATTCTTCTATAAGGCTGTCTTTTTGCTTTCTGTTTGACATGTCGTTTATTGTTTCCCATATCTTACGTTGGTCGTCATATATACACTCGAATTTGCTCTGATAGTACATACGTTTGGCTTTTTTTAACTCGGAGTTCAGCTTGTTTCTTTTCTTTTTGAATTCATGTAGCAGTTTTATATCACGAGTCTGAATGAATGCATGATACGTTTTGTTCTTATCACTTATTCGTTTCTACATATCAGAAGTGACCCATGGCTTCCTCTGTTTTTTTTTTCCTGGGGTTTGCTGTTTTAAGGGGAAACGCTTCATCATAACACTTTTTGAATTTATTAAAGAAAATTGTGTAGGCTAAATCAGCACTGCCCTCTGAACATGCGGCATTCCAGTCTGCTCTTTCTATGAGACTATAGAACTTCTCTAAAGAAAAGCGGTGATTTTCTTCAACTTTGGAATCTCCCTCCGATGGAAGAAATTGTGCAGGCAGCTTCTCATGGCCGTTAAAGTGCACGCGTCGTGATTTGAAATCCTCTTCCTTTTCTCAGAATTTCGGGCGCTTCTTTGAAGGAGATTTCACAGCTCCGCTGGCACGTTTGAAGCCACGCTTGATCTCGTAGACCGAGCTAACACTGGTCCCCGTTGCGGCGGCAGTCAGGTTGACGACTTCCACCACATTTTTTTCTTGGTTCTGCCGCCGCCATCCAAGAATAAACGTTCAAAACACACTGCCTTGTCTAGCTCGACAGGACATTTCCACTTGCGTGACGTTTGTAGTACACCCAAGGGGAAACTTCTTCAGGAAAGAGTGCTGACATCACGGACCGATTAAAGTCACTGGATCCTGGGAAAGTAACGCCAAGCTCCGCGTGTGGTCGCCATCTTGGTCCATAAAATGTGCAATTTCTCCTTGACCCCTCCGTTCTTGGTGAGCCAATCTAGATTCGCTGGTGACGGGTAGCTTTATTGAGTCGTTTTTTGTATACCGAGATTTTGCTAACCACACACCGGCGAAACAGGCGTACACGTTCGTACCACCACCAGATGCTGTGTCGGTGCTTGG